TCCAAGCTTTACTGTCTTCTCATCACGTGGCCAAAGTGCTTCATCTTGGCCTCTACTATCCTTCCCTCCAATGAGCAACCGGCCTTTATTTCCTGGAGGATGGGTTGGTTGGATCTTCTCGCGGTCCAAAGCACTCTCAGAACTTTCCTCCAGCACCAAAAGCATCTCTCTTCCTTCGCTCAGACTTCCCTGTGGTCCAGCTCTCACATCCGTAGGTTACTATAGGGAATACCATTGCTTCAACTATGTGGGTCTTTGTTGCCAGTGTGATGTCTCTACTCTTCAATATATTATCGAGATTGGTCATTGCTCTCCTCCCACCCTTGGTCCTTAACTTGCTTCAATTGCTGCATGGACAAAACTACTTTGCACTCAGCTAACCCAGCGGAGTGGCAGAGAAGAGTGAAGGAAGAATTGACTGGCTCAGGCAAAAGCAAACTGCTGCAGCTCCTCCTAGTTTCTTTGTTCTTAATCACTTCTCAGCTTGTCTCTTGTCTTCATTAAGAACTTTCTTGACCACACTCTGGTGTTGTTTGTCCAGCTTTCCTTTGTGAATTCTGGTGGGTCTGTTTGACTCATGGCATTATCAGGAACTAGGGAAAATCCTTATCATCAACCCCACTTGTGTCAAAAATTAGTCTTTCTTCTCCCTTCCTATCTGTCTGGCCTACTTTACAGGGTTACTTGTAACGATTACTCAAAGGATCAATGCTAAACGAGGTGTTGTTTCTGGCTATAATGAGCAGCAAAGGCCACCGAGGGATGCACACGCTCACGCTTGCCCACTGCCCAATTGGTATTTGGCAACCCTTGCCATGGCCAGCGTCTGTTCCCACGCTCGGAGCAAACCTCCCTCCCCACCCAAGCCATCAGAATGGGCCACTTCCATAGAAAAGGGAACAAAAGAGGCCGTGGGTTGGGGACAAGCCGGGCTTTGAGAGAAGGGGGATACATGAGACAATTAGCAAGGACCGAAATGCCAAAAGAGAGGGAAAGGGAGACTCATGAAGCGAGGCTGAATGGGAGGCAAGTATTGTGGGGAGGGGGGTCTCTCCCATGCATTCACTCTCCTCCCTTTCTGCAGCGATTCCTCCATTGAACCAGAGAATCAAAATTCCCTCTTTGCAAGCCAGCGGAACGGAGGGTGGGGGAAAAACACACCAAATGAAAGAGCGCTTTTTTGGCTCAGCCATCCAGATTGGAAAAGCGAGATACAAGCGCCACAAACAAAGCTCGGTCTGAAACCAAGCTCCTTCTGGATTTGGCCCCAGAACTATTTTCAGCATCAGTGTCAGCTGGCTTCTAGGACATGCCAAGCGGGCAAGAAAAAAGGATGTGTGTAGAGCCGTTACGCATTGGCAGAGAGCGCCTTTGTGCGCTGAATAACCCAGAGTGCGTTCCCACACCTCCGGGATTAGCATTTAGGGCTCCCAAGATGAACATGGGATTGTTCGGAGCAAAAAGGGCTTTAGCTGTAGGAAGAAAATCCAGCAATGATCAGAAAGGCAAAGCCACAAAGAGAAAATACAGTTTGGGAAAGAGGGAAAGAGGGAAGGAAGGAAGGAAGGAAGGAAGGAAGGAAGGAAGGAAGGAAGGAAGGAAGGAAGGAAGGAAGGAAGGAAGGAAGGAAGGAAGGGACTCCAGTATCTACGAGGGGCGTTCATTCAAGATTTCCCCTGACCCACTTCTATTCATCACAGGATGCTGAAACTGCACATGTGTAATGATATAAGTCTCAATAGGTTACATGCCAATTTACAACTCCAAACTGATGACAATCTTGATGTTACAGGTGCAGAAGTGGTGTGAAGTTTCATAATCGACCCAGTGGAATACAGAGCAGTCCTCAAGTTCCTTGACTTGAAAGGCTACACACCAAAGGAGACCTTCAATGTAACGATTACTTGGAGGATCGATGCAGAATGAGGTGTTGTTTCTGGCTATAATGAGCATCAAGGGCCATAGATGGATGCTCACGCTAATGCTTGCCCACTGCCCAATTGGTATTTGGCAACCCTTGCCATGGTAAAGAGGTTTATGGTAATGATTCCCCATTTTAGGATGTATTCAAGGACTGGCATCGTACATTCAAATGTGGTCAGACTTCGGTGCAAACAGCTCCAATTCCAGGGTGATCCCACTCTGCTATTGATAAACACAATCCAGCAAGTGGAGGTCACCATTTTGGAAAATTGCCACATAACCATTTGCCACCTAGCCCAAATTGTCAAGATTAGTGTGGGGTCCATGGAAACAAAATCATCCAAGACTATCTTCAAATGTATAAGGTATCTTCTCACAGGGTCCCCTGGCTGCTCTCACCTTTCCAAAAGCAGGAATGAGTTGGATGCTCTCTGGCTCTATTGACAATGATGTGCCATGGAAACCAGGAGGGCTTTTTCAATAGACTGATCACACAGGGTGAAAGCTGGGTCCATCACTATGATCCTGAGAATAAAGTCCAGTCGATGCAATGGAAGCATCGTGACTCTTTGTTATTGTTGTTTATTCATGCACTCGCTTCCGACTCTTTGTGACCTCATGGACCAGCCCATGCCAGAGCTCCCTGTCAGCCATGGCCACCCCCAGCTCCTTCAGAATCAAGCCAGTCACTTCAAGGATACCATCCATCCCTTGGTCGGCTCCTCTTCCTTTTTCCTTCCATTTTCCCCAGCATCGTTTTCTTCTCCAAGCTTTCCTGTCTTYTCATGATGTGGCCAAAGTACTTCATCTTTGCCTCTAATATCCTTCCCTCCAATGAGCAGTMGGGCATTATTTTCTGAAGTTTGGGCTGGTTGTAGCCCAAGGCACTCAGAATTTTCCTCCAACAACACAGTTCAAAAGCATCTATCTTCCTTCGCTCAGCCTTCCTTATGGTCCAGCTCTCACATCCGTAGGTTACTACGGGGAATACCATTGCTTTAACTATGTGGATYTTCGTTGCCAGTGTGATGTCTCTACTCTTCACTCTTTTATCAAGATTGGTCATTGCTCTCCTCCCAAGAAGGAAACATCTTCTGATTTCCTGGSTGCAGTCTGCATCTACAGTAATCTTTGCAMCTAGAAATGCAAAGTCTGTATCATGACTCACCGCCTCCAAAAAAGGCATGTGCCCAATTCTTGGCAGRCAAGCTCACGCTCACAGTATTTTGGGACCAGCATGGAGTAGTACTGATGGATTTCCTAGTAAAGGGTACCATCATCACTGGGGCATACTAGGCTTGACTGCTGCAGAAATTTCGGGAGTCCATCAAAGCAAGAGACATGGCATGCTCACCAAAGGTGTCCACCTTCTGCAAGACAATGCACCAGTTCACAACTCACATGTTGTCCAAATGGAAACATGCGCCCGTGGCTTTGAAATTCTACCGCATCCCTTTTATTCACCCGACCTTGCATCATCGGACTTCCACTTCTTTCTAACAAGGGAGTTATTTTTGAAGGGCAAGCGCTTTTCAGAGAATGAGACTCTGATTTCCTAAATCACAGCATGGCTTTTGGAGCAACCTGTCAACTTATACAAACGAAGTGTTTACAGTTGCTTCAAAAGATGGGAGAAGTGTGTGTCCCAAGGTGGCACTGATGGAGAGAAGGACTCAGAACTGGGCCAAGTTTCATTGCTTTCAGTCCACAGGAAGTGGGTCAGGGGAAATCTTTAATGAACGCCTCTTGTAATACTAGAACCTTCAGACCCAGACAAGGCAGGAAAGGAATCAGATGATATAAAGAGACCCATCCCAAACACCAGATGTGTTCTCTTCTGGAAGGATTTTCTTGCTTACATACACACAAGTCATATATGGCTCAATCCACCCGCAGTTCGCATGGGTGTAGCTACAGGAGAGGGGAGAAAATGAGGTCATTGCCCCCCTGAATAGGAGTTCTGACTTCTCAAATGAAACTTTCTTTTAGTCAGCCAAATTTCTAGCATTGCCTAACTCAAAAGCTCACTAAAATATTTACGAAATACATGTTTAGAGTCCAAAAGAAAAGAGATCAAGTGGCCAAAGGAACATAGATCCAGCAAACAGAAAGGTCCTACATACAATTTTTTAAAATCGTGTCAGAAACAACTTGAGAAACTTGGGGATCACAACCAGACACAGTGAAGACATTTGCCCTTGAGTTTTGATATTCTGCTGGAATACATCTCACCACGTTAAAACAATGAATGCTGATCTTAATGAGACATGTTGCATTATCACAAGTTGTCTATGCCCGACACCCTTGGAGAAGTTATACGGTTTAGCCAGTATTGCACCACCTTTCATCCGTAGGGAAGTAGCAGCCAGCAATGAAAGGATCAAAGCATTAACATCTCTGGCCCATCCTCTGTTCAGATATCAGCCAGCATGTCAATGACTTGAATCAAGAAACAGCTTCCTAATATCTACAGAGATACTTGCACAAACACCTCAGCAAGCAAGAGTCCAAAAGTGGCAGGCTAAACCCCAGAACCTCAATCGGTGGCTGAAACTGGATGAGAGACACAAAAGGCTGGGGGACTTGGAAGGAGCTCTGGCACCACGAGATGCAGAGCCAACCTTAAGAAATGGGTCTACAAAGTGGAGTCCATGACAAGCGAGCGCTGAGATAAGCAAACCATAGACCACCGAGTATAATGCAACCTGAGCCCTGCCACATGCACAATGGAGGACCTTCTTATTGCAACACTCCCAAGTGGCCAGCGTCTGGTCAATGAACATTAAGTATAATGTCAAGTTTTTAAATTTTGTTTGTAGTTTTTCTATACACTGCAACTGTATTCTCAACTCGTTCCTAACACGATAAATAAATAACAGGAGGGTAGATTTTGATTGAACCTCAGAAGGGACTTTAAGATGGTAAGAGCAAATTGGCAATGGGACCAACTACGGTGTTCTTCTCCGTATTAGATCTTCAAAAAGAGTCTCAACAGCTACCTGCCAGGGATGGGTTTACTGGAAGATACTGAGTGGGTTGGACTTGCTATCCAAAGATAGGATTCTCAAGTGACTCACCTTTCAACACTAATATGGAAGGGGTCTGGGCCAACGGGTCGGCCAAGGAGTTGATCGGGATGCTGTCTTGAAGCCAGATCACCATTACCGGATCGGGAGGCCCTTGCGCCTGGCAGCTGAGGTTGAAGGGAGTATCGGCGGTGACCTCAAGGTCTTGGGGCTCATCCGTGAAAATGGGGAGACCTGAGCCAAAAAAGACACAGAGTGAGCACACGAACACAATCGGCATCCAATCCGAACTGGAATCGGGAAACTAGATGTGTTAGTATCTGATCACGAGTACCAAATGATACCACTTTTTTGATATTCTAAGATAAAAGAGGAGCTCTTGGTGGCACAGCAGGCTAAACCGCTGAGCTGCTGAACTTGTTGACCGAAAGATCGGCAGTTCGAATCCAGGGAGTGGGGTGAGCTCCCACTGTTAGCCCCAGCTTTTGCCAACCTAGTATTTTGAAAACAAGCAAACGTGAGTAGATTATTAGGTACTGCTTCTGCAGGAAGGTAATCACGCTCCGTGCAGTCATGCCAGCCACATGACCTTGGAGGCGTCTACGGACAACGCTGCCTCTTCGGCTTAGAAATGGAGATGAGCACCAAATTCCAGTCGGGCACAACTAGATTTAATGTGAGGGGAAACCTTTACCTTTAAGATAAAAGAGAGACAAAGTTGTTTACCTTCTAATAGCAGGTAAGCTTCATCTGAGTAGATTTCAGATCCGTTGACCCAGGTCACACACTGGTAGTTTCCCATGTCGGAAAGTTGTACTGATGGGATGCTGTGGAACAGAAGAAGAGAATAAAGTGTTCACAAAGAACAAGCCATGAGAGCAAAGGCAAAGATCCACCCAGAGGGAAAGTGTTCTTGCCATACATCAAGGGAACCACTGACCGCATAGGGAAGCTAATGAGGAAACACAACCTACAAGCTATCTTCAGACCCACTAAGAAAATCCAACAAATGCTACATTCAGCAAAGGACAAGAGGGTTCCTCTCACCTCTGCAGGACTCTACCATGTATCCTGCAGCTGTGGACAAGTCTACAGAGGGACCACCTGTGGTGAAGTGTGAATTTAAATCTACAGTTATGTATAGTTATAGATAGGTGTTTAGAGAGGTAAGTATTTAGAGTAGCATAAATGGGGGGATGGTAGCCAGCTCAGCTCACTTTGAGCTGAGTTACCATGGAAATAGGGGCAGGGCCAACTGCCACTTGGCAAGGCAGCCATTTTAAAACAGTCAGTCTGTAGTCTGTGAACTGCAGGAGTGGTTGGTTCTGTAGTAGTGAGAACCAGGAAGGTAGTCTGTAGTTTAAAAACTATAGGGAAAGGCTGATTCTACTGTAGTGAGAATCAGGAAGGTTTTGGCTTTTAGCCTAGGTAGTTTAGATAAGTCGAGATGACTTATTTATATTAGTAGTTAATGTATGAGTAGAAAGGGTGAGAGAAACCCAGTGAGAATCTTTATTGCAGCAGAAATATCACAAAGAAAGAATAAGCTTGTATCTGAAGTAATCTATTAAGGAAAAAAACACAGTTTGAAGAAAAATAAGTTTGAAACCTCTTTAGTAGAAGGAAGAGTCCTTTCCAGAGTTGTTTTAAGGAATGTTATAAATGTAACCTCTGAAGATATGTACCTCTAAGAGTCAAGAAACATTGAAACCATCAAGATTCTGCTACATTTCAATAAACTTGTTACAATTTCTTATAAAGCCCGGTCTCTGTTACAAATCCTTTTCAAGTTAAGTCACGCTACACCTTGAAGAAAGACCAATCCAATATTACTAGTTATTAGCTACGCTATCAATTTAATAAGCCCTTACAAAGTGGTAGTTCCTTTACAAAATCTTTAGAAATTGGTGGCATCTTCGTTACACCATCAAATGCAGCATTGGCCAAACATGAATCAAGGGACATGAAAGGCCCTGCAGACTACTTCAACCAGAGAAGTCATCCATAGCAGAGCACCTGATAAACCAACCTGGACACAGAATATTATTTGAGAACACAGAAATGCTGGACCACTCTCACAACCACCATGTCAGGATACACAGAGAAGCCATTGAAATCCACAAGCATGTGGACAATTTCAGCAGAAAGGAGGAAACCATGAAAATCAACAAAATCTGGCTACCAGTATTTTAAAAACTCTAAAATTAGACCAGTAAAGGGCTGTATGACAGTGTGGACCAGGCATGGGCCAAGTTGGGCCCTCCAGGTATTTGGACTTCAACTCCCACAGTTCCTAACAGCCTCCGGCTCTTTCCTTTTTCCTCTCATCCGCTTAAGCTGAGGCTGTTAGTAATTGTGGGAATTGTAGTCCAAAACACCTGGAGGGCCGTAGTTTGCCCATGCCTGGTCTACACTGTCATATAACCCAGTTCAAAGCAGATAATGTGTATTATCTTTTTTGATGGAGCCCCCAGTGACGCAGTGGGACGGAAGACTAACAGGTCATAGATTCGGCAGGACAGAAGACTAACAGGTCGTAGATTCGAATCTGAGGAGAGCACAGATGAGCTCTCTCTGTCAGCTCCAACTCCTCATGCAGGGGCATGAGAGAAGCCTCCCACAAGGATGGTAAAACATAAAAAACATCTGGACGTCCCCTGGGCAACATCCTTGCAGACGGCCAATTCTCTCACACCAGAAGCGACTTGCAGTTTCTCAAGTCGCTCCTGATACAACTATATATATATATATATATATATATATATATATATATATATATATATATTTGATAATCTGGATTACATGTTAGTGTAGAAGGGGGCTTTGTGGGAAGGAGTGAGATTTCTCCTTCCATCCTCATGCCAACATTGGCTAAGGCTATATCAGCTAAGATTCTGAGAGCAACGGTCCCCAAAAGTAACTTTTCTGAACCCTGCCATATAGCTGATGGTGGCAAAGGAGTAACGTCTGAATCCTACATTTACATGTCCAAAAATGAAGCCCAATCGAATCTTATTTCCTCTCAGGTTAGGGCATAAAAAGCCCCAAACCTTAACAGAGGAGCGATCTACCACCAGCTCTTAGCAACTAGAGATAAATAAAGCCCCAAAGACTAATTGCTTTTCCAGGGCTTTCTCCTAAAAAGGAATTTACGGAGCTGCGTTTGTTTAGCAACCATTCTTTGTTGCATCTGAATGTTTCGGTGGGTAAAATACGTGTGTATGTGTGTCATTGTTCATTCTAACGGAACAGGAATCTTAATGTTTTTAGTGTATAGTCTTATTATTTGTTTCTATCTTGGAGGCCTCTTTCACCCAAAGGACGGAGGCCTCCGAGATAGAAAGACTCCATAACAAAAAATAACTTATTTTAAAAACATGGAAATTCCTGATTATTATTATTATTATTAGCAGTACAGTATAACACTCATATCTATGGCTTAATACATCCATATCTGACACAATACGAGGGTTGAATTAAAAGTAATGCCTCCACCTTCGTTACTTGGGTTTGGATGGGGATTTTTTAATAAATCAAATGCAGAAATAATCCTTAAATGTGCTCTTTAACTACCATTATTCACTTTTCCATATAATCACCAGACAATTGGATACATTTCTGCCAATGATGAACAAGTTTTCATCGGATACATTTCCGCCAACGATGAACAAGTTTTCATCGGATACATTTCCGCCAACGATGAACGAGTTTTCATCGGATACATTTCCACCAACGATGAACAAGTTTTCATCGGATACATTTCCGCCACCGATGAACAAGTTTTTATCGGATACATTTCTGCCACCGATGAACAAGTTTTCATCAGATACATTTCCGCCAACGATGAACAAGTTTTTATCGGATACATTTCCGCCAACAATGAACAAGTTTTCATCGGATACACTTCCGCCAACGATGAACAAGTTTTCATCGGATACATTTCCGCCAACGATGAACAAGTTTTCATCGGATACATTTCCGCCAACGATGAACAAGTTTTCATCAGATACATTTCTGCCACTGATGAATAAGTTTTCATCTGATACATTTCCGCCACCGATGAACAAGTTTTTATCGGATACATTTCCGCCAACGATGAACAAGTTTTCATCGGATACATTTCCGCCAACGATGAATACGTTTTCATCGGATACATTTCCGCCAACGATAAACAAGCCGTCACGGAAGAAGTTGACACTGTTTTTGCAACCAGCTTCTCACAGTTCTCTCAATGTCTTCATCAGAAGCATAATGATGTCCCTGCAGATCTTCTTTCTTTATTGGGAACAGATGGAAGTCATACGGTGCTAAATCCGAACTTTATGGAGGATGCTGGTGATGAGATCCAGTCTCTGTCAATCTGTCAGCCTTTTGCTTTTGAAACTCGGTGGTTGCTGTCACAGGACGTCCAACTCTTTGTTTGTCATGCAAGTCAGATGTTCCCACCTCAGCATCTTTAAACTTACTCGCCCAAAGACACACAGTACTCACATCAACACAATCACCTTAAACAGTTTGCATTCTCTGATGAGTCTCCTTTGGGACCTCACAACCTCTGAGGTTGCCTGCCATAGATGCAGGTGAAATGTAAGGAGAAAATGCTTCTGGAACATGGCCACACAGCCCGGAAAACTCACAGCAACTCAAAGTAATTTCTGTTTGTGGGTCGAGATGATTTCTTCTTTTCCGTCTTGTCTGTATTTGAAGGCCAGCTGCTACTGCGTCTCCTTTATGTCCCAAGTAGCAGACCAAACAAAAGTGTGTAATCTGCTAAGGGTTTATCTTGTTTGTTTTACAAGAATTCTGGAAACCCATCTTGTTTGTTTCAGCTGCTCATTGTTGTTGCTCTTGCTGTTTGTCAAAGCGAAGATGAATGTACAAGCATTCCTTTTCTTTTTTGTTAAGGGAGAAAAGTAACCAAACTGCTATTTTTTCTGAGGATTGAAAGGAACTCCTGAAGTTAATTAAACAAAGTTTGCAAATCACAACACACACACACACACACATATAGTGTGTGGGAACGAAAAGATAACCATTCAGTTTCCAATAGATGCTGAAAAAGTTTCCCAAAACTTTGGTCAAAAAACTTTATAGTCCAAGGATGCATCTCCATCAGGTATGGGCAAACTTGGGCCCTCCAGGTGTTTGGGACTCCAACTCCCACAATTCCTAACAGCCTCAGGCCCCTTCCTTTTCCCCCTCAGCCGCTTAAGCAGGCTTGTGGGAGTTGGAGTCCCAAACACTTGGAGGGCCAAAGTTTGCCCATGCCTCATCTACAGTGTAGAATGAATGCAGTTTGACATCACTTGAACTAACATGGCTCAATAGTATGGAATATTGGGAGCTGTAGTTTTGCAAGGTCTTTAGCCTCATCAAACTACAGATCCCAGGATTCCATAGCACTAAGCCAGGGAAGTTAAAGTGGCATCAAACTGCATTAAATGGACAATATGGATGCACCTTCAAACAGGAGCGGACAACAAGTTGTTCTCCAGATGTTTCAAACTACAACTGTCTAATCAAGTCTGAGCTCTTTGGAACTGATGGGAGTTGTAGTCCCAAAGCATTTTGGGGTGTACCAAGTGATCTATCCCTGACCCTTTCGAACGTGGCACATTTTCCTCTCTTGCAGCATCAATGCAAGCTTCAAACATGGGTTAGCAACAAGATGTTCTCCAGATGTCTCAAACTACAACTGTCTAATCAGGTCTGAGCTATTTGGGACTACAACTGATGGGAGTTGTAGTCCCAAAGCATTTTGGGGTGTGCCAAGTGACCTATCCCTGACCCTTTCGAACGTGGCACATTTTCCTCTCTTGCAGCATCAATGCAAGCTTCAAACATGGGTGAGCAACAAGATGTTCTCCAGATGTCTCAAACTACAACTGTCCAAACAGGTCTGAGCTATTTGGGACTGATGGGAGTTGTAGTCCCAAAGTATTTTGGGATGTGCAAAGTGACCTATTCCCGACCCTTTCAAACACGGCACATTTTCGTCTCTTGCACCATCTGCCTGCAAATATGTACAACAATGAGATGAAGTCACTTATGAAACAAGTGGAAACTATATGCCACGGAAAATCTCGAAATCATGTTTGATGTCGGATGCTCAAATGGGGCCATGAACTTGAGCTGGCTTCACATGAACAGGGAACCGTTTTCCTCCTGAAGATGAGGGTGAGCTGGCTTTGAGAGTCTGCATGCGCGATGCATGAGTGTGCATGTGTGACTCATGGGGAAATATTATTTCCAGTTGCTCAACTCCATGCAAGAGAAGAACTGGCAGGATGTGCTCAGCAATGCCTTTCTGCTTTCCCTCTTCCATTGCCTTTTCAATTCAGAAAGGTGTGGAATGGATGAAGGAAGCAGGCGATTCAGGATGCCACATAATCCATATTATCAAATCAGATAAAGCAGATTATCAGATTTGACCTGGATTATATGAGTCTACCCTGTTATATAATTCAGCTCAAACCAGATAATCTGGATTTTATATGGCAGTGAAGATCCAGTCCCTGTCTCTAAACTACTAATCCCAGAAACAGTGGGTTGTGGTAAGTTTTTTCGGGTTATATGGCCATGGTCTAGAGGCATTCTCTCCTGACGTTTCGCCTGCATCTATGGCAAGCATCCTCAGTACCTCAGCAACCTCACTACCTCTGAGGATGCTTGCCATAAATGCAGGCAAAACGTCAGGAGAGAATGCCTCTAGACCATGGAAATATAGCCCGAAAAAAGTACAACAACCCAGTGATTTTGGCCATGAAAGCCTTCGACAATACAATCCCAGAAACAATTAGCATAAATATAAAAACCACACAATCAATAAAAAACCAATAAAAACATGGATCCTCAGCGTCTCATTACTAAAATCATTATCCAATCACATTGTCCAGCTATTCCGTTGGTCTAACTTTGTCTGTTACACTGCATCTGTAAATGCTTGCACAAAAAGCCAGGTTTTAACTTTTTTGCAAAACATTAGGAGGGAGGGGGCCAATCTGATATCCCTAGGAAGGGCGTTCCTTAGCCAAGGGGCCACCACTGAGAAGGTCTTGTCCCTCGTCCCCGCCAGCCGAGAGCAGGGCCTCTCCAGATGATCTTAAGAGACCTAGATGGTTCATAAGGGGAAATACGTTTGGACAGGTAAGCTGGGCCAGAACTATTTAGGGCTTTATAAGCTAAAGCCAGCACTTTGAATTGTGCCCAGTAGCAAACTGGCAGCTAGTGGAGTTGGTGCAACAGAAGAGTTGTGTGCTCCCTGAGTGCCGCACCTGTTAGCAACCTAGCTGCCAACCGTTGGACCATTTGGAGATTCCAAACAGTCTTCAAAGGCAATCCCATGTAGAGTGCATGGCAGTAGTCTATACAGGATGTAACCAGAGCGTGGCCAAGTAAAGCTTCCCAAGGTATGGGCGCAGCTGGCGCAGTAGTTAGGAAGTATAAAGGACTTTATTTGTGTTATGGAAACCTTGTTATTGTAAATAGTGCGACTATAGTATTTTACTACAAAGAAAAGCCTCCTATGGCAGAGATAACATTGGTCTGTGTGTTTTTGCTCTTTTTATCACTTTGGGCTACTTGTGCTGGGTCGCACTGCTGCTAATAAGTTACTCTGCTGTACTTTTATGAGGAAGGTCTTTTGTTGATAAGCCCACGTGCCCAACAAAGGCTTCTGGAACATGGAAAACAGCCAGCAACCCAGTGACTCTAGCCATGAAAGCCTTCGACAACACAATGGCAGATATGCTTCTCTATTTTGTCATCTGCTGGAAAAATCAGATCATCCTTTTCCAAGCCAGTCACAGACCCAATTTACAATTCTCTCCCCTCTCCAAACAAGCCAATTAGCCTCAAGAGCATGGCAACGTGCCCATGCACTAAGCCATTTATTTGAATGTTGCACGTCACTTACCTCAACTCGCTGGTGGCCATCCATTCTTCGTCATCCAAAGGCACCTGCACCTGGTTGCTGTCTGCAAACTCCAGTGCCGTGCCATCCCTCAACCAGCTCAGCTCCGGTGGCTCTCCGAGAGCATGGACCGAACAGGAGAACTTCACATCCTTGCCCAAGGAGGACGTCAGGTTTGAGGGGCTCTCTAGGAAGTAGACAGCTAACGGGAGGAAAGAGAGGAGACTTAGGATGGTATTGAAGAGGAAAAAACTGAATGTTAGGGTGCACTTATGCTGGGGTATCAAACCCTTTTTCATTGAGGACCACATCAAAATGAAATTCAATGGGGACAAATGCAAGATACTCCACTTAGGCAGAAAAAATGAAATGCAAAGATACACAATGGGAGACGATGCCTGGCTCGACAGCAATGTGTGTGAGAAAGATCTTGGGGTCCTCATGGACAGGAAGGTGAACATGAGCCAACGATGTGATGCAGCAGCAAAAAAAAAAAAGCCAATGGGATTTTGGACTGCATCAATTGAAGTCTAGTGCCTAGATCCAGCGAAGTCATGCTCCCCCTCTATTCTGCCTTGGCCAGATCACACCTGGAAGCACACTGTGTCCAATTATGGGCACCAAAATTGAAGGGAGATGTTCACAAGCTGGAATGTGTCCAGAGGAGGGCGACACAAATGATCAAGGGTCTGGAGAACAAGCCCTATGAGGAGTGGCTTAAAGAGCTGGGCATATTTAGCCTTCAAAAGAGAAGGCTGAAAGAAGACAGGAAAGGAAATTCCACTTGAACTTCCTGACTGTGAGAGCTGTTCAGTAGTGGAACTCTCTGCCCCAGAGTGTGGTGGAGGCTCCTTCTTTGGAGGCTTTTAAACAAAGGCTGGATGGCGATCTGTCAGGGGTGCTTTGAATGCAATTTTCCTGCTTCTTGGCAGAAGGGGGTTGGACTGGATGGCTAACGAGGTCTCTTCCAACTCTATGATTCTATGGTTAGCCATATGGTTGCCTTCAAAGGGTCATTGAATCCATGGATTGAGAAGTCATGCATACAGGTGACCAACTATATATATTTTTAACTTTGTGGTTGTTGCTCTTTAGTTTTTACCCAGTTTGGGTCCCCAGATGTTACTGAATGACAACTCCCATCCCTTTTGATTATCCACCATGCGAGCTGGGGATAATGGGAATTGCAACCCAACAGCACTTGAGGATTGGAGAAAGATTAAAGGACGTTTTAACATCAAGCATCCTATCCACAAGCCTTGTGTCTAAATTCAAACCCATGACTAAATGGAAAAAACTGCAGCCTCCCAGATGATTGCTGAAATCACAACTCCCATCAGCTCTAGTAATGATCTCTAATGGTGAAAAATAGAGGAGCTGTAGTTCAGCATCTGGAGGGCCACATAAAAAGACATGGTGGGCTGGATTTGGCCCGCAAGGCTAGAGTTGGACACATATAATCTATACCAGGCATGGACAAACTTGGGCCCTCCAGGTGTTTTGAATTTCAACTCCCATAATTCCTAGCAACTGGTAGGCTGTTAGGAATTGTGGGAGTTGAAGTCCAAAACACCTGGAGGGGGCAAGTTTGCCCATGCCTGATCTACACCATACAATTAATACAAGTTAACATCACCTGAATTGCTGTAGCTCAGTGCAATGGGATCCCCACTCATCCATGAAAACCTACTGAGTGAGCTTGGGCAAGTCACACACTCTCAGCCTCAGAAAGCCATCACCATAAGTGAGAAGAACTCTAGTACCCACTAAACTAAAAAATCCCAGACTTGCTCCTAGTTTATCCTGATATCACTTACGTAACATGAAAGGGCTCAAGGATTTTCTTGCTGTCTGTTTCCAGGTATAATTCAAAAGACAGGTTATAATCATTGGAGCCTTGTACAACTCAGTCCAGTTGTAATGTTTGGCTCCGATACAAGTGTCTCTCGATTACATCTTCAATTGTTCCACTCCCACTTGATGCCAATACTATTGTTTCATTACACAGGAAAAAATGAGTCGCGGTTAAACCCTTGTGCTGGCTGAATTGCTGATCCGAAGGTTAGCGGTTCGAATCTGCGAGTCGGGGTGAGCTCCTGTCTGTCAGCTCTAGCTTCCCATGCAGAGACATGAGGGAAGCCTCCCACAGGATGGTAATACATCCGGCTGTCCCCTGGGCAATGTCCTTGCAGACAGCCAAATATCTCACACCGGAAGCGACTTGCAGTGTCTCAAGTTGCTCCTGGCACACACAAAAATTACACAGAAGCAAGGGCTGGTTTCAAAGTTGGCAAACTCTTAATCTGTGGCTCCTTTTCCTCTCTATTTTTCAGCTTCTCTTATGCACCAAAAGAAGGAGCAATGACGTTCTGATCTGGGCATCGGATGATGCTTCAACTTGCCTCTCCATCATTCATTGCCAAGAGTGGCAGAAAACCACACCAGCCTCACCCATTTAATGACAGTTTTTTTGTAACTCTCTAGCATAGAGCACTCCGAAGATGCTATGTGGGGATCAAGGCAGACCAAAAAAGTGTTTCCAGCTACCAGAGGCTTTGAAGTTTCCCCAAAACAGTCCATACAATCTCCTACAAACCTTAATCCAAAACAATCTCAGAACCTTTAACTCAACAGCAATGACTTGTGACAAATGGTGCATCTACGCTGTAGAATTAATGCAGTTCAACACCAATTTAACTGTCTTCTCTCAATGCTATGGAATCTTGGGAGTTGTGGTTTGGTGAACTACATTGAAATACAACACCGCCTGAGCTCTGTGAGTGCAGCAATCTTCCAAATGAAACACAGAGTGTTTGAGGATTCTGAAGGACCAAAAATCAATTGCACTATGTTGGAAAGAACACTACCAAAGCCTCCTGAACTGCAGCTCCAATGTGGCTGAAGAGGTTCTCTCACAAATCCCACAACAACAAACCAGGGATGAGTTTGCAGTGCTGCCTAGTTTGGAAGAAGTCAGCAATGCCATCAGCCAACGAAAAAATAACAAAGCCAGTGGACCTGATGGGATCCCTGCTGAAATCTTTAAAGAGGGAGGACCTGAGCTGACACAACAACTCCACCGGCTCATAGAAAAAGTGTGGGTGACCGAGAAAATCCCAGCAGATTTCAAGGATGTCACCATCATCGCTCTCTTCAAAAAAAGAGAAAGAACAGACTGCGGAAACTATTGAGGTATCTCCCTCCTAACCTCTGCTGGGAAAATCCTCGCAAGAATCCTTGCAAACCGCCTTCTACCCCTCTCAGAAGACACCCTCCCAGAATCCCAGAACGGCTTCCGCCCCTCCAGAGGAACAGTGGACATGATCTTCACTGCACGACAGCTCCAAGAAAAATGCAGGGAACAAAATCAACCTCTGTACATGGCATTCATTGACCTTGCAAAGGCATTCAACACAGTGAATTGCAGCGCTCTCTGGACCATTCTCCAAAAAATCAGGTGCCCTGACAAATATGTGAACATGCTGCAGCTCCTCCATGATGGCAACAGTCTTGGACAGCAATGGCTCCCAAAGTGACCCATTTAAGGTGGAATCAGGTGTCAAACAGGGATGTGTTATTGTCCCAACCTTATTTTCCATCTTCATCGCTGTGATACTTCATCTTGTTGGTGGGAAGCTTCCCACCGGAGTGGAAGTCATCTATCGGACAGATGGCAAGTTATTTAACCTCAGCAGACTGAAAGCCAAAACCAAGGTCACAACAACATCTGTTATAGAACTCCAATATGCTGATGACAATGTCATCTGTGCACATTCAGAAGAAGACCTACAAGCCACTCTAAACACCTTTGCAGAAGCATATGAGAAGCTCGGCCTGTCATTGAACATCGAGAAAACCAAAGTGCTCTTCCAGCAGTCACCAGCCAATCCCGCTCCAATGCCAGAAATACAGCTTAATGGTGTAACATTAGAAAATGTTGACCATTTCCGCTACCTTGGCAGCCACTTCTCCACCAAAGTCAACATTGACACTGAAATACAACACCGCCTGAGCTCTGAGTGCAGCATTTTTCCGAATGAAGCAGAGTGTTTGAGGACCGGGACATCCATAGGGATACCAAGGTGCTTGTTTATAAAGCTATTGTCCTCCCAACCGCTATATGCCTGCGAAACATGGACTATCTACAGATGTCACATGCAACTCCTAGAATGATTCCATCAGCGTTGCCTCCGAAAAATCCTGCAAATCTCTTGGGAAGACAGACGGACAAATGTCAGCGTGCTGGAAGAAGCAAAGACCACCAGCACTGAAGTGATGGTCCTATATGGGCGTCAACACAACATGAGGAACTGTGTTAAGGGGTCGCGGAATTAGGAAGGTTGAGAACCACTGATGTGTGGGATGCCATGTCAACAGTCAACTTGAAGGTGCATATATTTGCTTGGATTCATTTCTTTCAGAGAGCACGATAGGCATCCAAACAAATATTCCTGTATTCTCGTCTGAATTTTATCAGTAAGTTGACACAGCTGCAAGGCATTGCAGTCCAACAACATGCGGAGAACCACATCATCTTCGTCCACTTTAGGGAACCAACGGCATTGGGTGGATCACCATTTTAGTGGCAGATCTCCAGATGATTTGCGTTTACTTGGCAAGAGCTCGATTCTCTTTTATAAGAAACAACAGCAACAAGAAAATGACAACATTCCTCCACTGCCATCCCATTCCCGCTGCTCCAATAAAGCTGTTGAAATGAAGGACGATTGGTTTGACCAAAAATAGATTCTTTTGTGAGGTCTGCTCAGTTCTACAACTGAAAACAATCTCCAAGGCTCAGAATGTGGGCTTTGAGTGCATTTCTTTGGTGATTGGTTCTTCGTTTTGAAATAATAGTATGACTGGGGTTTTGAGGTGGCATTTTAATATTTTAGTGTTTAAAAGTGACCCAAAATTTGTTATTTATTTTTGCTATTTTAATGCATTTAGATCAGTGTTTCTCAACCTTCTTAATGCCGCAGCCCCTTAATACAGTTCCTCATTTCCTCATAAAATTATTTTTGTTACTACTTCATAACTGCAATTTTTCAACTGTTATGAATCATCATGTAAATATTTGATATGCAGGATGCATTTTCATTCACTAGACCAAATTTGGTACAGATGCCTGATATGTCCAAATTTGAATACTGGTGGGGATGGGGGGGTTGATTTTGTCATTTGGGAGTTGTAGTTGCTGGG